TTATGGAGCTAATGTTCCACAGAACATAATTTGGTAAGTGTCTCCCTGATCTTACAGTGCCTTGCGGTTGTGTTGAAAGAACTGAATACAGATGGTTTGCTCCAGGCAATCCTGCCCAGCGGTCCTGCTCAAAAACTTTGGTGTTGATATATTAACTATATAGGCTTGCAAGTCACATACTCGGGTGTAAGGGAAAAGTGACTTTATTTTTCCATAACTGAACTTTATTTCTTAATCTCTCATTCTGCCTGATGGCAAACATACACACATTCACCAAATCCTTCACTTTAATAATTTTCCAGGTATATAGACATTATATTTTAAAAATAATTTACTACAATGTCTTTTCCTCTTCTACCCAGGGCTGCAGCTAAGCTCCAGAGGACTTAGGTCATGTCATGCTTTAGGGGATATATCTGATTCTGTATCGACATCTGTTCATACTGATATCACCCTCCACACTGATATCTTTTGAGATGTCTTCATTTCCATCTAAAACCTCTTCAGAGAGTTCATACCATATCTTTGCCCAAGAGGTCCCTTAGGTCTGTCAGTTCTTGGGGTCATTTCTCAAGGGTTTTCAATCACATTAAGAACAACATTGGCTTGATCCTGTGACCCCATAATGTCTGTGAAGTAGTTCAGGATCCATTTGCCTAATGGTTCAATGCAGATATTTCTACTCCAGTTTCTAAGACCACAATGTCATAACTATGGAACTTTCTCAAGATAACAAACAGGAGGTAGAGCACTGATCTCTCCATTCTTAGATCAGGTAAATTTTTTCTGGGGGTTCTTTTATGCTCTAATTTAGAATATTGAAGCTCTCTTCAGAAACCCTCACCAGCCGTTAACTCATTTGCTTTCTCTCCAACTGTGATTTATTTTCTTCTCACCTAGTGCTTTTTTTCCCTTCGAGTGAGTTTGGAGAGTGTAGGGCATGGAAGAGATTAGCTAGACAAATATCCCTCTAACCCTAAATTTTATGACATGATTTTGGTCTTTGGAAACTCAAAAGCCAATAACTAACCTTTCTTTTGCATGTTTGTTTTATGGCCTCTCTTCCTCAAGGTGTGAAACTTACTATCTAGTTTGAGTGGGGAGATGAGCTTGGGTGGGATAGGTGCTGGTGTAGGAACAAAGTGTTTGCTCTAGAGAAAAATACCCATAGTTTTATCCTTTATTCTATTAGTCTGTTAGTTTATCTTTGTGCAAACACTATGTCTTAATTTTTATAGCTGTGTGATGGGTATTGATATCTGGTAGTGTTAAGCCTTCCAGCTTGTTCTTTCTTTGATACTATTGGCTGTTCTTGGTCCTTTCTATTTCCATATACATGTCAGTTCATTAATTCTCTCAAAAAAAAAAAAAACACAACCCACTAGGATTTTTATTGGTATTACATTGAAGCTATAGATAAATTTGGAGCAAATTAAAAATATTGATTTTTAAAATATTGAGTCTTCCTTCTATTAACATTATTTATACCTCAATTTATTTAATTCTTCTTTAATTTCTCTCAGCAATATTTTTTTTAAGTAAGCTGTATGCCCAATGTAGGGCTGGAACTCATGACCCTAAGATTGAGTCACATGCTTGACCGACTTGAGCCAGCCGGGTGCCCCTCTCTTGCAGTATTTTATAATTTACCCTGTAGAAAAATCGTAAATATTACAATTTATTTACTTCTAGGTATTTGATGTCTTCATACTATTGTAAATTTTGAATATTTTAATTTCTCCAATTGATCCACTACCAGGATGTGTAATGTAGTTGATTTTGATAGTGACCCAGTATTACGATATTCTGACCTTGCTAAATTCGGTTATTTGAATAGCTTCTTTATAGATGATTTCAGATTTCTACCTACACAATCACATACTTAGCTATTTTATTTTATTTTGCAATATATGTTCCTGCTTACTTTCTTTCCCTCTTTCTCCTTCACTGTCCTGGCTAGGACATCAAGTGCAATGTTGAATAGAGGTGATGCAAGTGAACATCCTTGCCTTAATTCCGGTATTAAGGGGAAAGATTCCATGTTTTACCATTAAGGTATTATGTTAGCAGTAAGTTTTTAGTAGATATCCTTATCAGGTTAGGAAAATACTCTTCTATTTCTTGTTTGCTGATAATTTATAGTGCTAATGAGTGTTGATTTGTCAATTGCTTATTCTGCATCTATTGAGATTATGTTTTTTTCTCATTTATTGTTACACAATGAATAACATTAATTAATTTTCAAATGTTGAACCAATGTCATGATGTATTAGCCTCTTTACATATTTGAGATTCTATTTGATAACATTTTATTTAGTACTTTAGCATCTATGTTTGTGAGATTTATTGGCTTTTGAGTAAGAGAGAGTTAAGTAGTTAACCTCCAATTAATTTATCACCTGGAAACATATTGGGGGGTGTTTCCTGGAAAGAAAGAAGGAAGATAACCCACATAACCCAGGCTAATCTCCTTGTAAACATATTGATAACAGAGTTCATGTAAATAAAGTAGTATTAATTATTAGGAGGTGAGTCCTTATACGAAGTGTTTCAGCAGGAAGTCCTTGATTCAGGATTGACTATTGGTAAACAAAACCAAAATCTATGAATTTATGGGATATGACCCCCAGGAAAATGTCATGTAAGTTACGTAATTATCTGGGTGTGAAATAGAGAAGTTTCATGACCTCAAATGCTCCATGTTGTGTGAAGTGAATTCACTTAGAGAATGCTATCTTTCCAGTTTAGCCAAATAGCTCATCCAATGCCAGAAGGAAGGATCTGGAAAACTGTAGACACTGTTTAAGACTTCTCTCTGCTTTACCTGTCCTCTTGATTGCTTATATTGAGATTATTAGCAAAAGTTTATAATGGATAAAATCTCATTCCTGTGAGCCTTTGGGTCCGATTTGATAATCCTGTCTTTTTATGTTGTCTCAATCTATAATATCCCTTTTTTGTAATGTCACGTTTTGGAATCAAAGTTATGTTTGTCTCATAAAACAAGTTAGGAAGGATTTGTGTTTTCCCATTTAGTAGAAAAAAATGTGTAAGGTTGGTATTTTTTTCTTCTGAAATATTTGGAAGAATTTACCGATGCAGTCATATGGGCCTGAATAGTACTTTATGAAGAGCTATGGGGGAGCCTGGGTGGGTCAGTCATTAAGAGTCTGCCTTCGGCTCAGGTCATGATCCCGGGGTCCTGGGATAGAGCCACATATTGGGCTCCCTGCTTGACAGGAAGCCTGCTTCTCCCTCTCCCACTCCCCGTGCTTGCGTTCCTCTCCCGCTATCGCTCTGTCAAATAAATAAATAAAATCTTAAAAAAAAAAAAAGAGGTATGGACTTCCCCTGTGTTGGAAGATGGCACAAAAGCCCCTCTTTGATGAGACAATAGGTAGGTGCCCCTTCATGAGATGCCTCCATCTTCTTTCCTCTTTGTTAGACAACTGACTTTCTTGGAGTTGTATTGCAGTCTGAGACTCTTACTACTCAACCCTCCCTCCTCCCCCCTTTCCTCTGCCTTCTCTGACTTCCTTTCTATTTTACAGTCACGGCCATTTCCCCAAATAAATCTCTTGTAAATCTAATCCTGTCTTTGCATGTGCTTCTTAGAGGACCTGAACTAACACATTTGGACTTTGTTTTGGCAGGTAGATACTTATGAATCAGCTCCATACTACTAAGGCTTGCTTATAAGCCATTTTAGGGGGTAAGTCTAGGGTAGATTTTACTTTCAGGCTAGTTTAGGCCTACTTACATAAGGTATAACCTTCTTGGGATCCGAGTGAATGTCTGGAGTTCCTAGGGAGGACTAGGCTGGATGGAAATTAAATGTTTCCCAATCTCATGCTGGTTTTGGGAATTAAGCTTAGTGTTTAGCAATGAACACAAAGGGATCTGTGTGCGGATTTCTGGTTTCTCTCTCTGCAAAACTTCCTCCTCGCTGGTACTGTGCCCTGAAAATTCAAGACCTCTCAGTTTCACTCAAGTCCAGTCTTTGCCTCCTTAACTCAGCAAGACTGCAACATGATCCAGAGTGCTGAAACTCAGAAAAGCAGGGCAACTGTAAGGGTTACCTTACTCCTCCTCTACAGTGATCCGTCCTTTCCTGCCAGTTGTCCAATGTCAGAAAAGCCACTTCACAGTTTTTTTTTTTTTTTGGCTTCTTGGAACACTAACAGCCAATCATTTTGTAAAATTTCTAATATATGTATTTAGAGCTATAAATTTCCTCTAAGCATTTGTTTTCAGAGCATCCTACGAGTTTTGATATATTGTACTTCCATTATTATTCATTTAAAAATATTTTCTAAATTCCACTGTGATTCATAGTTTGACTTGTGGGTCGTGAGGAGTATGTTCCTTGAATTACAAGCACTTGGAATTTTTTTTTTTTATTTTTACATAACTGATTTCTGGTTTAATTCATACTCTATATGATTTCAACCTTTGGAAATTGGTTGAGATTTGATTTGCGATCCATCATATGGTCAATTTTGGTGAATGTTCTGGGTAAACCATAAAAGAATATGTATTCTGAAATTTTTGGATGTAATATTTTATGTCTTGTTGATATGTATGGTGCCAATACACAGGAAATAGTAGGAGCTCAACATATATTGAATTGAATAACTCTAAAGTTTTATCCTATTTGTGGCAATTCCAGACCAAATAAGAGAGGATGATAATAATGCCACAAGGTGTAGGCAGAGAGAAAACCATTTCTAGTAAGACAGAGCCTGATAGAGGAACCATAAATTAAAGTATGAAGTTCCCCCCCCAATTCCAACCAATATTAATGACAACCCTTTACGTGATGGAACTCATCCCAGTATTTTTCCTTCCTGTGTTTCTACCAATTTTCCTGTAATTGGTTATAAGCTCTATATCACTGGTACTAGGTGACAGTAGAAAACAATATTTCAGGAAATGTTAATGATGTTGATTTATAAAGCTCATAGAGACACAATAAATTGTTAATTTTATTTCTCCATTTCCCCCCAAACAATTCAGGATTATTTTTGAAATTACATGAGTTTAGACAATGTCTAATATCTCTATCCAATGGTCCAATTTTTCAAGTAGAATCATTTTTGAATCTTCCAAGTTCTAATGTCAATTTCTATTCAACATCACTCCAGGTTAGGACTATTATTAACATACATCTTCTAATACATTTAACCTTCCTAATTTAACCCTTTTGCCAATTCTGTTCTGGATATTGAAACTTCTTTTTAAAGATTTTATTTACTTGAGAGAGAGAGCGTGTGTACACGCGAGCCAGGGGAGGAGAGGGAGAGGGACAAGCAGACTCCATGCTGAGCGTGGAGCTCGATGCGGGGCTTGATCCCATGGCCCTGAGATCATGACCTGAGCTGAAGGCAGATGCTTAACCGACTGAGCCACCCAGGTGCTGGACACTGAAATTTTGATTATAGAAAGAAGGATACAGATTTAGATGAGGCTAAGAGCACCTTCTATAGGCTCATAAGATGCCTCTTGTGCACTGTCCCACATCTCTATAACCTCCAATTCCAGCCACAGCTCCAGTGCACAGCTGGAGCAGGTTTTGCCCTGATCTGTACTGCTAGTGCCTCACTTCAGGTATGCACCAAGAATCTAGCTTCCTGTCCCAAGACTTCCCTGGTGCGGCAATATGTGATGCTCTGGTACCTGGAAGGCTCTTCGGTCTTTGCAACTGATAGGGATGGAGAAGTTAACACCCCATGGGAGCAGCCCTCAGCACGGAGGAGATGGCTGGAGGAGATGGCCGCTGAGAGATAAATGCTTCTCCCTTTCATCCCCCAGGGGTGGGTGGTTCTGAAACAAAGTTGAATAAGAATCCCGAGAAGGATCTGCCTGTACTAAATTCCCATTAATAGTGGTGGACTACCCCATAACACTACATGTTTTGCTTGGATTTTCTTTCCATTTTACCCCTCTCTCTTTCATTCCTGTTCCCTGGGATCACATTCCCAAATAGAATGTGTGTACCTTTGTCTCAGGCTCTGAGACAAAGAATCAAGAATCACCTGGATTAAGACAGTAGGTTAGCAGGCTGTTGGGGGATTGTATAATGCAGGAATAAAATTGTCCTTTACTCTGTATATGCTACAAGAAACACGCATTCAGTTGGCAGCACAAGTTTATGGTAATTTTGATGATTTTACATTTCTTTCCTATTTGAAAGTTCATCATCCATCCTGAAGCCTGAACGCCTGAAGAAAAAGAGTTGGGTTCAAATTAGCTTATAATTGAATAAGCAAAAAAAAAAAAAAAAAATTTTTTTTTTTTTTTTTTTTGTGACGATAGCTCTAAGCAGTTTTTCTTTGTGAGGGGGCCCTCAGCAATTTGGTTGGATACTTCAATCTAATAAGGAGGAATCCTCAGTCTACTTAATCAGGTAAAGCTTTTTGTTGCTTTGGAAACAGTCATACCATATTTCTTATTCTCCTTAGTTAAAAAGCTGGAGCTTTGCTGTAATTCTTTTTGCTAAGAAACTCAAACATACCTTAAAAATGTAAATTACTGGAGTCCTACCAGGCCTACTTCTTCACGAAAACTGAAGGAACTGACCCTGAAAGATATAGGGAGTTATTAGGAATAAATTAAGGTTGCCTACATGTCAGCCCTGAGAAAAATGTTAACAATGATAATGTTTTACTCGTTTAAGATACTGAAGACACCACAGAAAACAAAACTGGTAAACTTCCCTGCCCCCTCACAAGAAGTTATATTCTAGTGGTGGGGAAAGTGAGACAAGAGCAAATTTTTTTTCTTAAAGATTTTATTTATTTATTTATTTAAGAGAGAGAGAGAGAGAGAGAGAGAGAGAGAGAGAGAACAAGCAAGGGGAACAGCAGGGAGAGGGAGAAGCAGGCTCTCCACTGAGTAAGGAGCCCAATGCGGGACTCTGATCCCAGTGGGATCATGACCTGAGCCGAAGGCAGACGCTTGACCAACTGAACCACTCAGGAGCCCTGACAATAGCAGGTTAAATAATTGACATACACAGCATTTCAAATAAAGGCTATAGATAAAAAAAAAAAAAAAAAAAAACTAGGAAGGAAAGAATGTGAAAGGTTTTTGTTTGATCTTGTGCAATCTATAGGTCTTGTTGAGGAAATAGGAGGAGAAAAGAAACAATATGGATATCTGGGGGAGGAGCATTTGGGGAAAGCCGTGAGATGGAAAGGGGTCAGTGTGGTTAGACGGATGTGAGCATTAGAAGATAGGTTCAAAAGGGCGTGGACAAAGGAGACAGTGGAAGGTCGCCTGAGACAGGGGTCCTCACTGTATGCAGGCTATGTCATGCACCAAGGGATGTTCTGAAAAACTGAGGACATTTTGATGTTACCATGATTGGGGTGGTGCTACTGGCCTTTAGTAAGTAGGCGACATTTATAGAAGTACAGTGATGCTCAGGGCAGTTCCAATCAATAAGGTATTTTTTCATGTTTTGTGTGACTTTAAAATGTCCTGCTTATCCATGTAGATTTATGTTAACTTCTAAATTCCATTCATAGCAAGCTAGGATATTGGGATTAACGCTCCACTGAAAACAAGCAAACATCCTAGGATAAATAGGTTTGAATAAATTCAGAAATCTTTTGCTAATATTTTTTCAAATATTCTTCTGCCCCATACTCTCTTTCCTTGCTTTTAGGAGTTCAATTTCATGTATGTTAGATCACCTGCTACTATTCCATCAGTCACCGATGCTTGTTTATTTTAAAACGTTTTTTTTTCTCAGTATGTTTAAATTTGGATGATTTCTAGTGACCTGTTTCCAGTTGAATGATCCATTCATTGTTGTGTCCAATGCACTGATAAACCTATCAAATAATTTCAGATATTGTATTTTTCAGTTCTAGGATTTCCATTTTTTTAAAAAAATATTATCTGTATCTCTCTTGAAATTTCCTATCTCTTCATCGATTTTATCTTCTCTTTAATAAGATTCTTTGGAGCATTTGTCATGGTTATTTCAAAGTCCTTGCCTACTAATTCCAACATCTTCACTGATTTGTCTTTCTATTGATTTATGACAAGGACAGTGCTACAGAGCAGCGGGAAAAGGACGGTCCTTTGGACCTTGGTCAGTAGTATAACTATATGAAAAAATTAAAAAAAAATAAAATTAACCTTTACTTCATACCATACTTCAAACTCAATTCTACATGGTTCGATCTAACTGTTCAATGAAAAAACAGTATGTTTTTAGATGTAACTTGTAACATAGATGTAAATTCCTATAGTTTTTAGATGTCCTTGTAGGCAATGATTCTTAAGCAAGACAGCAAAGACAGGAACCATAAAGGAAGACTGATAAATTAGACTTATATAAAAATAAAAAATGTACATTTATTAACATTTAACAATGAGATAATTAAAATGCAAGCCACAGATTAGGGAAAGGTGTTTTTGGGCAGCATTGATAAATGAAAATGGACTCACATTAGAATAAACAAGTCAAGTAGGAAAAGACAAAAACCCAATAGAAAAGAAGACTCGTAAGGTGCTTTACTAAAAGAGGATATTCAAATGACTAATAATCACATGGAAAGATGTTCTTTTTCATTAGTCATCAGAGAAGTATAAGCTGAAACCACACAACCACCAAATGTTGGTGAGGGTGCGGAGCCATGAAAACTCATTATACAGTGTAAACTTAAAAAAGAGTCTGGCACTATCAACTATAACTAACCATAAGCATAAACCTATGTCTGAGCTATTCCACTCTTAGGTATATATCCCAAAAGAAATACGTATCTGTGTGATATAAATCTATCTGTACATATGTATAACATACAGATATGTATAAAAATGTTCCCAGTAGTATTATTTGTAATAGCCCCAAACCTGGAAATAACATGAAAATCCAGGACCAGTCCCGAAAGACTCCACATTATACAATCCCATTTTCGTGAAATGTCCACAACAGGCAAACCTATAAAGACAGAAAGTAGATTCGTGGTTACTTAGGGCTGGAGAGGATGGTGGGGCATGGCTACAAGGTGACAGCTGAAGAGTATGGAATGGTTTTGAGGTGATGAAAATGTTCTAAAACTGTGATGATGATCAATCTGTGATTGTACTAAAAAAACTATTGAATTGCATACTTTAAATAGATGAATTTTATAAGAATTATATCTCAATAAATCTGTTACTTAAAAAATAATAGTATAAACAATAAAATGTATTATATTCATATAATGGAATGCCAAACCGCATAAAATAAAGTAAGAAAAAAAGAGACCTGTTAAAAGCAATAATGACATGGATGAATCTCAATTATAATATAAAGGGAAAGAACCAAATATTACAGAAAACTTAATGGATAATTCATTTCATTGAAATTCAAGAACTTACAAAACTAACCTGTATATTTGAGGATAAGGCAGTGATTTTATCTGACAGGGCAGGGGGATGAAGGGGCCTAGGAATGGTCTATTTCTTGATTTGGATGGTGGTTGCAAGGGTATATCTGCTTTAGTCTTTGAAAGTTTACTGAACTGTACATTTAGAGTTTGCACACTTTTCTGTATTTTGGACTTTAACAAAAGTTTCTTAAGAAATATTTTTAAAAATCCAGTTGTTCAGTAATTCATCCTATGGCTACGTATTGGAAAAAGGGCCTAAAGAATATATAAACATTTAGTATTTGTTTTTTCTCCTTTTTTTTTTTTTTTGTCTGTTGCGTTATGGAGGATTTTTATTTTCTTCTATATATTTTTCAGTATTTTCCCAATTACCATAGTGGACAAATATCACATTTATCACTAGAAAAAAGGCTATAAAAACACAATTGCCTGACATACTCCTGTATTACCTTTATTCTAATTTATTCACGATGTAGGAACTTTGGCTTTTGCTCCTAGAGAGGAATCAACTGACATTTTAGAGTAGAGAAGGGCTTGGATCCTGGTCTGGGGCTTTCTTGGTAGTCTTGCTGACTGCCAGGAACTCACCAGAGGCCATCCGGCAGGGAGGAGGAGCAGATGCAGGTGAAGGATCCCAAGGGATGAAGAACAAATCTGGGCAGGTGAAGTCAAGTAAACTGGGTGGGTTACAGCTCTCGTGGAACCTAAGTCCTTACTGTAAAACTGTGGTGGGATCTGGGACGGGGTGCAGGCCAGAAAGAAGCTCTAGCCTCGTGCTGGGTAAAGTGAGTGATCAATCTAATCATTATAATGTGCATGTTTTTGTAAGGCCAGCAGCTAGGTTTTTTTGTTTTTTGGTTTTGTTTTTTTTTTTTACCTTTTTAAGAGGTTGTTGAAACAGAGACAAATATGAGACAGAGACCGTTCCTGGTCTGCAAATCCTAAAATATCTGCTATCCGGCTCTTCACAGGAAAAGTGTGCCAACTCCTTGATTAAGGGACTCAAAGCTAAAGAATTTTAAGGTATTTTAAACGTCACCTAGATTAGCGCTTGCTGGTGAGGCGCTGGGTGTGGAATGCGCCGGCCCGGGGCACTTTCAGTCAGCAGTGTCACGAGATGTAGTACTGCCCAGGCTCGTCAGATACGGGAAGGGGAATGCACTAAAGAGAGTATACAAAAACTCACCTCTGCAGAATCCAGCCTGGAAGGGGATGGCCAGGCACCGCGGGCCCAAACACAACTGGCTCTTCCTAGCAGGGGGCTTCAAAAGAATGAGTCGCGCTCATTGCAGCCCTTATCCGATTGCAAAGGAGGAGGCTTCCGGGCTTCTAGTGGGAAAGCATCTTTGTCACTCCCAGAGAAGGCAGCGGAGCCCCCGGGGAGTTTAATTTTCCCTTCTCTGTTGTGTGCAGCTGCGCTGGATGGTGGGCCACCCGCTGGACTGTAACTTTTGGAGAAACACAGCGGGAGTGCGGCGAGCTGCCCGGCGCCTGCGCAGTGGCCGCGGGCAGGCTCCTCTCACCGCGCAGGCTCCGCCAGTCAGCTCCACGCCAGCGGTGGGGGGCGACCCTCCCGGGTCCCCGAGGGAGGAGGGAAGTCAGGGCGGAAGGACACGTCCCATGGTTTCTGCTGAACAGAAATTTGAGAGTTAGCTATGGACATCATAACCCTTCACCCTTAAATGTTACCAGTGTTTTCACCTGCTCAAAGGGCAATTTCATTTATTTCAGCCTAGTATCTGGCCATCCCCTAAGGATAAGGGATCCTCCCGCACCAAGGTTTCTCAACCTCAGCGCTATTGACATTTTAGGCAAGATGATTTTTTGTGTGTGTTGGGGGGGTGGGGGGAGGAGCAGTCTTGCTCTTCGTACAGTGTTTAGTGGTATACTTGGCCTCTACACGCTAGATGCCCGCAGCAGCCCTCCCTTCCCCCAGCTGTGACAACCAGAAATGTTTCCAGCCCCTGCCAAATGAGTGTAGGGGAGAGAACAGCAAAATCACTCCTACTGAGGACTACTGTGCTGTAAGATTACAATACAGTGTCTCCAGACAATGTATCATAAACATCGAGAGTCCGAATCCACTAAACGTTATTACATTATTGTAATCGACTATGTAGTTCATATTCTTATTTCCTCAATTGTCCCCCCGCCAAAACCTCGCTTACTCTATTGTTGTTTGTAAAACATAAATCCAGGACTTAACAAGGATCACAGATCGCATTTAGTTATCAAGTCTCTTGAGAGCCCTTAAATTGAGAACACGACCCCAGCCTTTTTTGTTTATTTATTTATTTTTTTGGCATTGACATTTTTTGAAAAGTTCAGGCCAGTGGTTTACCAGAATCTCCTTCAATTTGGATACGCAGATTGGTTCTTCATTGTACGAGCCAAGTTGAAACAAATTTTTTTTTTTATTTTTTGCTGGAATTCCACCTGGGTGATATTATATCCAATTTTATTTATTTTCAAAGTAGCATTTAGCTTTTTAAACAAGATTTAATTTTAAAAAGTACACTTTTCTCCCAGTGATTTGAGGTACCACATACATAAATTTCCACATTGTTCTTGAGTCTATATCTGTATTTTCTATTTTTTCCATTGATCTGATTGTCTCTACTCCTGTGCTAATGTACTGTTTTAATTGCAGAAACTGTATAATATATTCCAATATCTGGTAGGGCTAGGCCTGTCTCATTACTGTTTTTTCCCCCCCTCTTTTTTGGATATTCTCATTTATTTATTTTTCCATATAAAATATAGAATCTACATCCATGAAAATACTTTTAAAAATTGGTATTATTTTATGATTTTGCATAATTCTGTTGAAGAGTGCGGTTCTATTTTTTTTTATTCATATCCTAGCTTTATGTGTTTTAGGAAGGCTTTAAGTTTTCCTCATAGAGGGTTTGCCCATTTCCTGTTAAATTTATTCCTACAGTATTTTTCTTTTTTGTTGTTGTTGTTAATGTATATGGGGTCAGCTCTTCTATTTTTCCCTATAACTGCTTATTGCTTAAGTATATGAAGATATTGATTTTTATGTATCATTTTACATCTTGCTACTGTTTTGAAAGTTATGTTGCTTCTAGGAGTTTTCCATTGATTTTATTGGAAACTCTATTTTCATTTTTATGTAATTGCAGTGATTATTCATTTTAAAGCTCAAATTGCCCATCTTTGGCTCCTATGTTCATTTGACAACCACAAATGTCTTGATAGCTTCCTTGCTTTCTGATTCTGTAAGAGTCCCAGTGTCATATTGGAGCATTTACTGCTCTAGACCAAAATCAGCCGTTTCTCAAAGGACTCCTCACTACTTTCAGTGCAAAGTGTATTTGGTGACCACAATCCATGCACTAAGGATATTCATGGCTAAACAGCTTGCTGTTACTTTTCACACTTTACAATGCAAGATCTAGAAAATACAAGGTTTTTCTTTTCTTTTTTAAAGTTTTTATTTATTTATTTGACAGAGAGAGAGACAGCGAGAGAGGGAACACAAGCAGGGGGAGTGGGACAGGGAGAAGCAGGCTTCCCGCGGAGCAGGGAGCCCGATGCGGGGCTTGATCCCAGGACCCTGGAATCATGACCTGAGCCGAAGGCAGATGCTTAATGACTGAGCCACCCAGGCGCCCCAAATTTAAGGTTTTTCCAAGAAAGATAAAAGTAAATCATAAATTTGTGCTGATATTCCAATTCTAATGAAACATTATAGAATTTTTTACTTAACTTATTTGATTTTTTAAAATAATTTTTATTGTTATGTTAATCACCATACATTACATCATTAGTTTTTGATGTAGTGTTCCATGATTCATTGTTTGTGCATAACACCCAGTGCTCCACGCTTAACTTATTTGATTTTATATTGCATCACTTTTCTGCTGAAACACATGGTACCTAACAAAATTATTTACTTTTTCTTATAATATATAGTTTCAAAATAACAGTATCAATATTATAGTTAATTAAAAGTGCTACATGTAGTTTAATGCAATTAGGTTTAGTTTTTTCAGGTTGTTTTCTAATCTAATCTAGGTTGTTTAATTAAAAAGAAAATTAAATCCAAATTGAAAAAAAACAAAGACAAAAACAAGACAAATATTTCTAACTTTTCGAGTGTGATGTCTCACTCATTTATTTCTCATTTTTATTGATATAAATATTTAGATCTGTGAATTTTATTATAAACAGTCAGCATTATCTTGTAGACTCTGATGCTATGTTTTCATTATTTTTTAAAAAGATTTTATTTATTTATTTGAGAGCGAGATAAAAAGAGGAGAGAGAGCACAAGCAGGTGGAGGGGCAGAGGGAGAGGGAGAAGCAGACTCCCTGCTGAGCAGGGAGCAGGACGTGGGGCTCGATCCCAGGACCCTGAGATCATGACCTGAGCCAAAGGTAGACGTCCAACCGACTGAGCCACCCAGGCGCCCCTTCAAATTTTTTTTTCCTAGAAATTCTCAGTATCAGTTGGTATTTCCCTTTGAGCCAGGCTATGTTTAAAAGAAAAATTTAAAATTTCAAGGTGGGAGGGCTTTCTTAATGTTTTGATAGTGATGGATTATTTTTTAATTTAAATTTTAGTTAGTGAACATACAGTGCAATGTTGGTTTCTGGAGTAGAATTCAGTGATTCATTATTTACATACAACACCCAGTGCTCATCACAAGTGCCCTCTTTAATACCCATTACCCATCTAGCCCAACCCCCACCCACCTCCCTCCATCAACTCTCAGTTTGTTCTCTATTGTTATGGTATCTTTTTTTTTTTTTAAAGTTTTTTTTTTAAGATTTTATTTATTTATTCATGAGAGAGAGAGAGAGAGAGAGAGAGGCAGAGGGAGAAGCAGGCTCCCAAGGAGCAGGGAGCCCGATGTGGGACTCGATCCCAAGACCCTGAGATCATGACCTGAGCTGAAGGCAGACGCTTAACCATCTGAGCCAGCCAGGCGCCCTGTTATGGTATCTTTTATTTTTCTTTTTCCCCTTCCCATATGTTCATCTGCTTTCTTAAATTCCACAGATGAGTGAGATCGTATGGTGTTTGTCTTTTTCTTACTGACTTATTTCACTTTAGCACAATACACTTTAGCTCTTGGGGTACCTGAGTGGCTCAGTGGGTTGGATGTCTGCCTTCAGCTCAGGTCATGATCCCAGGATCCTGGGATTGAGCCCCTCATCTGGCTTCCTGCTCAGCAGGGGAGTCTGCTTCTCCCTCTCCCTCTGCTGCTCCCCCTGCTCGTGCTCTCTCTCTCGCTCTCTCTTTGTCAAAATAAATAAATAAAATCTTAAACTTTTTTGATGGCTGAATAATATTTCACTATATATATATATATATATATATATATATATATATATGTATATATACACATGCCACATCTTCTTCTATTCATTAGTCAGTGGATGTCTGGGTTCTCTCCACAGTTTGACTATTGTTGATAATGCTGCTATAAACACTGGGGGACATTGTACCCCTTTGAATCTGTATTTTTGTATCCTTTGGGTAACTTGGATTTTTACTTATATTGTTGATGTAGAATATTATTTGTATTTTTCTTTAGGTAATTATTTTAGGTATACATACGTCTATATGTAAAGAGTCAATTATTGTAAATGATTTTTTTGTCTTGGACTAAGAGAAGTATACACAAAGTTTGCAATTATTTATGTATTTCTATTCTCTTTGAATCTCTTGTACTTTCTACTATATGAAAGAAGCTACTGTATTATTTGCTGCATATCTTTCAAAATATTTTATTTTATAATTGTAGACTTTAGCATTATCAGGTGCTCTTTGTTTCAGTCATGGTTTTTGGACTGAACTCTAGTTATTTGGATTTCAAAATTGCAATTCTTTCTTTTTATTTGCATTTTCTTGGTATACCTTTGCCTGTCCTTTCTTCATTAGCATTTCTTGAATTATTTTGTTTTAGGCATGTCTTTGTCTTTTACGTGAAGCATAGAGTTGGGTTTTGCTTTGGAATCTACCAACTTTCTTTGTCCTTGTGATAGCAGGGGCAAGCCCTCTACTGGTTGATGTGTTTGGTCTCAGATATCTCATCTCATATTTTATTTATATATGTGATATACATCATATTTGATGATGCTAAGTGCTCTTGAGGAAAATAAAGGAGGAGGGGTGAGGGCAATATTCCATTTTAAATAGGTGGTCAGGGAAGGCCTCACTGAGAAGGTGACTTTCGTACAAACTCTTGAGTCGGTGAAGGAATGAGTCACTTGGATAAGTGAGGTGAGATTTATCCTGATGAGACAGAACAGCTGGAGCAAAGGCTCCCAGGCACAGGACCACCTGGTATGTTTTCCAAGAACTTGCAAAGAGGCTGGTGAGGCTAGAGTGGGGTATGCAGGAGGACAGTAGGAGATAGGCCAGAGGGGACAAATCAAAGAGGCTCAGATAGGGCCCTGTCAGTCAGGGAGGTAACAAGACAACCCCTTCAAGAGGAATTTTGGTG